TTAAAAAAGAAAACTAGAATGAAGGACCTTAAATTATAAAAAATATAATTTGCAGGAGAAGGAAAGAAATGTAGGTATATCCTGAAGTCTTCAAGTTTATTTTGGTCCAAGTAGGATCACAAAACTTCCTCTGTTCTTCTACCTCCCTTTTTCCTAGCTTTCTCTTCTAAATCTTTGGTCTCTTATTGGAGGTGACTATAACATTTTGGCATGAGAAGGCCCTGAAAGGTATGTAGGTTATAATAGCAAATGCCAGCCTTCCCAGCTGTGTGAAATGGCCAGACTATGATCTCTTTATAGTCTTTGGATAAATCCAGTTTTTCTAGGAGCCTGATGGGTCTGATTCTTGATGCTATATTATTGAGAGAAAGGAAGGAGTTGTCAGTTATTTGAAACCCTCAGTCAACCAACTCTTGGGGAGGACTTCCTTACTAGAATGTGCAAATATAACCATCAGATCTGTTAAGTTACTGTAGTTGAAAGAGCCTGGGATAGCTAAAAAAGAAAGTAAAAACTGGTAAAGATGATTGGATCCAGACTTTATTAATAGAATTAATTAACTTTTTCTGTTTGTTTTTATTTTGCTAGGCTTGGCATTTGAAAAGTATTAGCAAGATGGTTTCAACTTATGAATTGCCCATCTCTTCTTTCATTAATTTGTTCATTCAACAAAAATTAAGTGCTATATGCCTGCTATGCTGACTCTAATATCTCTATCGGGAAAAAGAAATACACTTGTAAATGGGAACATAAACATGGATTCTGCTCACTGCTAGAATGAACACACTTAACTGAATGTTCATGGATATTTTGTTGGAATTTTAACATAAATCAGTCAATCAATCCTCTCCCTTTTAGAGAGGGAGATTATAGGAATTGTAAGAATTTAGGGCCAGGTGAGAGGGCTAAGTACTGGACCTAAGTATAGAGAAAAACAAGACAAAAGGGACTGCTTACAAACATTTTAAGTGCAGAATTTTTCTTACGAAGCTTTTTTCTAACGAAGAACTGCATACACCAATACCAAGGACTGTTTGTCCCGCTCCTTTCATTTGAGAGTAAATAGCTTTGGCTCTAGAGTTATCTCAGGCCCCAGATGGTGTAAAGTGAAGCTGTTTCAGGAAATGCTGATTCTGAATCCTGAGATATACCCAAGTGTAACTCTTTAAATGAGCAGACTCGAGTTGGTTATGCAGGGCAAAAACTCGGAAGACTAAGAGTTTGACAGTGAAAGGGCCAAGAACCAATGTGTTTTGCCTCCTCACTCTAAACAAGTGATAATTGTCCTAAACTCAGGTAGATATTTAAAGCTGATTTATCTTACGTTAGATATTATCAATGTTATTTTCAATATCCACGGAAATAAAGGGGAAAGTATAACTGAGAAAGTTGCTGTATTCGTATCGGTAGCTCCATATCACAAAGGGTGTTTTTGAAGAAAAATTTGTTTAAAGATTTGCCTTTTGTCTAAGTTCTTATCTACAATTCTGGTTCTTGTTTTTTTATTCTGTGGATGCTGACAGTTCAAATACAAAGCTTACTTTGAACTGAAAAAAATTTCCCCCAAAGCAACATATTTGAAATGTGAGACATAAAGTTCTTGCTATGTTGCCATCGTACTGACATTAAATTTTTATTATTTTATTTTTAGCTAGAAATCGACCATGGGCAAGTCACTATGCCATTTTTAGATTTTGGTTTCTATTGTAGTTAGGGGGTGGATGAGATCACTTTTTAAGATGTTTCTAGATTTGGGGTTTGTAGTCAGTGATATTCAATTGTCTATACGTGCATGATCAGCACTCACGCCAAAAACCAGTACCCCTTATATGGCTGAAACTTTGTTAAAGTGCTGTCCAGCTGCCAGAACCTCACCACACCCATACTGAGAGGAAGGAACCTTATCAGAGGGGGCTGCAGACCTCGTTCAGCCCAGCGGACCCTTGCTCTTTCTGTAGCAGCTTTTTTTGTTGCAGAGAGTTGTCCACTGAACAGTTTCAATGAAGTAGCACGGGAAAGGAAGGACAGAGGCATATTTTAATTTGAAGTTGAATTAAAATTGCCAGAATAATTGAATATTTTAAAAGCCTTATTGGAAAACTTCAGTGGCCCCAGCTTGTGAATGTGTGTTCTAAAAAGTTCAATTGTAAATTGGTTCTTTGGAATATTTTTCTAGGAACAATATTAAAAGGTAGTTGTGTATGCTGTAGGCCAGCCATTGTTTAGCCCACAATGTTGCTAAAATACTGTTCTTTTTGGTGACAAATAAGAGGTGATAGTACTGTTTTAGAGACATGACTATTTATTATAACACAAGTTTAAAAAAAAAACTCAATGCCAACATTTACTACAGGTAAAAATTAAGTATTTGAGCAAGTTTATTGGGGGAGGTAGGTGGAGATGTCAGCAGGAAATGGGAAAGTGACTCTAGCCACTAACCTGATCCTTTTACCTCTGTCAGCCTTTACATCTGCGAAGAGATGATATGCATACGCGCTTGCAAGAGTCAAACATAAAAATGTTTCCATTGAGCCTACTCTCCTCATTAGCATTTCACCTTCCTTTTAACTGGGATTCTTGAAAACTTAGATTCCTTTCTTACCAGCTTACTCTTTTAGCCCATGCACAGAGTTCCCACCGTTGGTGTATAAATAAGTACAGTACTCTTTGAAGATTACCTACCTCTTAACCCCATCAAGAAATCAAGTAATTTTTTAAAGGTTATTAGCCATGCTCGATAGCATTTAAAACTTTTGACTACTTTCTCTTTGAAACTCTTTTTTTGTGATGCTGGTTCTCTCATTTAATTCTCACGTAACATTTTAGCAGCCTGACTTCTCCCTTGTGTGCTCTTCACAATTGTACATTTTCCATCTTTTGTTTTATAGAATAAATTCCATGGGGTCAGAAACTGTCTTGTTGTCTTGTTCACTGCTGTATATTTAGTATCATATCTATAGGTAATCAATAAAACATTTATGAAATAGATGATTTTTTTTTGTCACCTAGTGAGATAGCTCTTCAGGTTCTGTTGATTTTGTTTTGCTATTTCTCACCTGCTTTTTAATTGATATCATGCCTTTTGCTTCGTTCCATCTTTTTCATTTTGACTGGCAGTACTGCATTTCAGCCCGTCTTCTTTGTTCCAAGTTTATTTATTATGAAAAACCATTCCCAATTTATTTCCAAGTGGAAAAGTAGATCATTAAGTGACATTAAGTAGTTAAATAGGAATAGCAGGGCCACAATTGGTATTTACCTATTTCCTCTTATTATTTAGATCTTATTTATCTCTTACTAGATATACTAGGTCTTTTAAGTTTACCCTGCTTTCAGCTTCTTTTCCCCCATTCTCTTCTTCATGTTATGACCAAAGCAATCTACTTAAATAAATCGTGATCAGATAATGGTTTTCCCTGTAGAATTTTATTCTTGTAGAATAAAATTTAGGAATAGGAATTGGCCTTTTCTTGTTGTGATGTGAAGTCAGGGAGCAGGTTTCAGGTCACAAAAAGAAAAATTCATCCGTGTTTAGAACAATTGGAAATGAAACTAAACAGTTTGAGTAGGTGTTGTATTCCCTTTCATTGGTGTCAATATGGTAGAATACTAGGCAGTTCTCAAATGGGACAGATTATTGTAGCTTTTTAAAGCAGCATTCCAGGCCTTTAAGTGAAGATTATATCTTTCAAACTGCTTAGGTCTTCCACAGTCTGCCACAGATATAATTTTAATGATTAGGAACTGCATCTTGCACTTAGTGGGTGCTAAACATACATTTGTTCAGCAAATTAATAACTTCTGGGCACTTTCTTGAGTAGGTGAGGTGGGGTTCTTTATTTCCATTTCAAACTTGGTTTTGTGATGTAGGAGTATCAGATCTGTATTCAGAGCCTTAGGAGCAAGTCTTTGGCTCTACAAGTGTTATCTTGGGCTAGTTATCTGTCATCTATCTGTGAGCCTAATTTTGCATCTCTAAAATTGAAATGACAGTTACTGTAAAGTACGTTATTGTGAGGACTAAATGCATGTGAAAAATGTCTTATACTATGAGAATGCTTTGTAAGTAGTTGAAATTAGTAAAAATTGATGGCTTTTTTCTTTAATAGATTATAGGTATGTCATTACTATTACTCTTTCACTTTACAGTTAGGGTTTTTTTGTTGTTGTTTTGTTTTTTTTGCCTTAGCAAGAAAATAAATAGTTGCTTTCTTTTAAAAAGTAACACATTACCACAACTCCTCAAGGCAAAATTTCTCTCTTATACTGTTGAATTCTTGATTTTAATCCCAAACTCCTAGTTTCTCTGGATGTTTCTTCTTTCTCAGTTTTTGTGTCAGATTTGGACAAAGATTCCCAGAGTTCTTCTAAATACCAAAAAGTATGTGGCAAAAGTAGCATGTATTTTCCCAAATGGATTATATTTGGTAGAATTTTTCTAATTTTAAGATTTGTCTTAAATCTTTGGCACTCGATATGTTATTATTGTTATTTTCATGTGACAAAAATCAATGAACAAGTAGCAAAAATATTTTAATGAAAATGTTAAATACCTTAATTATTTTTTCTTAATTGTTTAATTTGGTTCCCTATACATGCTTACACATTGTACATTTCCTGAGTATAATTTTATATTACACATAAATGCTATAATTATGCATTGATACTTTTTCCTGATTGTATATGATGGTATTGGATACATTATTGTTCCATGGTGCTTCATAGAGAGCTCTCTGAGTTGAAGTTAAGTGGATTCTTTATCACTGCTTTGTAAAGAGTACCTAAACAGGGAGGTTAGTTGTAGGAATGGGCAGTTCTTGAGTCTGCTGAGTGAGGAAAAGATAGATGTCTCCCTGACCAGAGTTGTTTCACAAGTAAAATACATTAACAAATCAGCTTTTCATAAGAGACGAACTCTGTGATTTGGAAAGGTGTATTATTGGTATTTGTCATTTCTCCTTAAAATAGTAAATCTGTCTTCTTTCTTCCCCCTTCACCAGGTCAGTGTGTGTTTGGTGCCCTATTCTTCTATCACAAAAAAAAAAAGAGAGAGAAAACACTGCAGTGAATGAAGATTCTTCTCCATTTCAGCACTGCTTTTTCTACTGTAGTTGGCTTTTGAATGAGGATGACAATGGAAGAGATGAAGAATGAAGCTGAGACCACTTCCATGGTTTCTATGCCCCTTTATGCAGTCATGTATCCTGTGTTTAATGAGGTAAGTGGGTAAACATTTCCCACATATGATCTCTGCAGTTCTTTAATGCCTGCTTTATTTATTTATCTGCTTGTTCTTTCATATAGCAAATACTAAATAGTAGCATAAATGAACTCCATGTATGTGTTAGACATTTTGTGTCAGGGCATAAAATGGTGAAAATAAGACCAAACAGATATGCCACTTCCCTCTGGAGGTTGTACCATAGTGAGAGAGATAGACATTGAATAAAGAACATAAATAATTTTATAAGTGAAAAATTGTAGTGTTACGAAGTTTTTAAAAAGTGTATTAAGAAAGAAAATAGCAGGTGGGACCTATTTTAGGGGTGAGGACAGGCTTTACTGAAGAAGGGACATATAGCTTAAGATCTGAAAGAGATAAAAGTTAGTTGAAGAGTTAGAGAAAAGTACATTCTAGGTAGCCAGAATAGCAGGCACAGAGATCCTAATAAGTTATTGTTGGTGGTGACAACATTTTTTAACTGATATTTGGAAGATACCATTGCTTTGTATCTGGAGAAGGACATTGATTGCTTTTTTATTTGAGGAATTATTTTGGATTTAATACATTTTTGGTTTTTCATTTAAGTTAATATAGTATGTAGAGAATTTTAGAGCTGGAAGTTCCTTAGAGATCATTTAATTAATCTCCTTTAATTGTGAGCTGAGGCTCTGATATATGAAATTATTTTCCTGAAATTACTTAGAATTAAAATAAAATCTAGGTCTCTGGACTCCAAATTGATTGGCTTCAGCCTTTTTTTAAAATTTAATAATCACCTTTTTGCTATTTTATTAATCTAATTAGCCTTTAACGCCATTAACTTTATTGTTGCTATTATAGTCTGGAAGCCCATACCATTTCCAATGACTTTTCATCTCTTTTTGTAAAATATTTTTATTAGAGTAAAATTTTGAATTTCAAAACCATTTTTCCCACATTTTTGGGTTTGATTGCAGTTGATGTATTTTATGATCTTAAGTATTGGGGGCAATGATACATTTACCCTCTTGGACATGAAAACCACTGACTTAGTTGCCAATTCAGACATACATTTTGAAATTTCAAACACTGTCAAATAGTGTTAGGTTCAGCAACCATAAGAGAAAATTAAAAATCATGGCTTGGGTAAAAATTTATTTCTCTGTTACATAAAAGATTCTGGAGGCAAGTGATCCAGGGCTAATGTCATCAGGACCTCAGGTTCCTATCTTCTGCTCCACTATCCTAGTGCTTGGCTTCTATTATCAACGTCAGCTTGGCATGCAGGACAGTTGCTGAAGCACATCCATCATGTCCAAAGTTGTTTGGAAGGGGGAAAATGGGGTAGGGAGTAGAGTCATGCTTCCTTAAAGTAGCCCTTTTGAAAGGCCTATGCAAGATTTCCACTTACATTTCATTGGCAATAGCTTAGTTTCGTGACCAAACCTAGCTGCGAAGAAGATTGGGAAATTTAGGAGTTTTGTTACTAAGGAGGAAGCATCTTTTGAAAAACCTACCATTATATTGCTACCATAGCAGCATTGGAGGCACTCTTTTAGGTCTAGTTATACCCATCTATGGCAGCTATGGCCAACACTCCAGTAATTAATTTCACCATTTTTGTTCTCATACTTAAGTAGCTGTTGTTAGAAGCAAGTGCTTCACTTCTGTTCAGTAAGTATTCACTGAATGCTATCCATTTATTTGCTGAATACTCTGTTAGGGTCTGGAAGTGTGTAGAAGAAAAAGCCAACGTGCCTGTTCTTGAGAATCTATTAGGGAACACAGGTATTTAAGCAAATAAATTTTTAAATTATCCTTATACTTGGAATTAGGTAAGGAGACACTGACTAAAAGCTAGTGAGTAACCTATCTTGGTAACAATTAAATTAGAGTTTGAACTTCTCAGGTATTCCAAAAACCATTATCATAATTCCACTCAGAGGTACTCCCTCTTTTCATGTCTGTATCTCTAAATTGATAGGTTATTGGGCAAAGTTTTTTGGGAAAATTTTCTATATTTATCTGGTATTTTGAGTCTTTATTTGAAGGGAGGAAAAGTTACATTGCAGAGCTTCAGTTTGATCCTCTGGTTAATGAAAAGAAATGAGAAAGAAAAGCTTTTGTTTTAACAATCTGAGTGGTCTTTTGTTTTTTTTTTGTTTTTGAGACAGAGTCTTTTGCCCGGGCTAGAGTGCCATGGCATCAGCCTAGCTCACAGCAACCTCAAACTCCTGGGCTCAAGCGATCCTCCTGCCTCAGCCTCCCAAGTAGCTGGGACTACAGGCATGCGCCACCATGCCCGGCTAATTTCGCTATATATTTTTAGTTGTCCAATTAATTTCTTTCTATTTTTAGTAGAGACGGGGTCTCGCTCTTGCTCAGGCTGGTTTCGAACTCCTGAGCTCAAACAATCCGCCCGCCTTGGCCTCCCAGAGAGCTAGGATTACAGGCGTGAGCCACCGCACCCGGCCCTGAGTGGTCTTTTGAATCCTGAATTTGCAAAAGAATTATATAGAATGTGGGATTCTGGTAAAATTATTGGGATTAATATTAATATACCTTTTCTAATTTTATTCATGTGTAAGGGAAATTAACTTGGAAGAAAAAGAAGTGGCTGTGAGTGGACTAGTAAGTCTCTTCCAATGATTATCTCTAGATGAAATCTTAAAACATGTGGGTCAGTGGGCCCCAAATTAGACCACATTGCCAAATGATTCATAGTTGGTCCAAGAATTACATTGTTAGAAGTAAAGTTTGAAAATGAAGTGGCTGAATGTGGTACACTGAGACCATAGCAAATTGGTAGAGTCTAGTTTTCAAGTTGAATTTACTGATCTAACATCATGATACCAAGTTTTTTTAAAAATTATTTCGGTCATATACTCAAAAACATGTTCAGAACTACAGGGTTTTAGAAATAGTGATGGTAATTAGTAAGTTTCTCTTTGATAGAGATGAAATCTAGGGCTTGATTTAGGAATGGAGTAAAATAATGTGCCTTCAAATATGAAGTGTTTGATTAAAAATAGTAAAATACTAGCATTATTCTTTGGTGTTCTGGGGTAACATCTAAATAAGATACCTAATACCTAAAATTAATGTTTAACTGTAATTCAGCCATGAATTTTTCTATAAATCTAATGGGGAATATTATATATTCACTTTGGCTCTTTTTCTGTGCTGTGCAGATTTAAAGATGAAAATGATTGTCAAATTAATCTTCCAGAAAAGTAGTACCACCCCAGGGGTGAATGTTTTACTCTGAAGCTAAATGATTCACTAACCTTGTCCATGATATATTTTAAGAGTTAAAAAACTTACTAGTTCTCATCTTAACATTAGATCCATAGTATCTACAATGGTAGTCTAGAAATCATATTTTAAAAAATTCTTAGCTCAAACGACATCCTTACACCTGGGCAGTTTTAGTACTGTTATTCCAGCTTACAAGGCAAAGTTATTTATGGCATTCGGAGAGCTTGATGCTTGCTAAACTTAATGAAACTATGCCAAAACAGCTGAGAAGGAGTAGGCTTTTTTTTTAATCAGCTGCTGCAGAGTTCAAAGTCCAAGTATATTGCCTGTTGTAAATGTACTGTGAAATAGGTCTGCTGGTTACATTATGGAATAATGGGTTTCTAGAAACTTCATTCCAAGTCCTAGATCAGGTTCTCACATAGCTATATTATTTCTTACTGATTCTTTGTATGTGGAAGATGAGAGTGCAGTGGCTTAGTTCTTCATTCCAAGGGGGAAAAAGCCATGTATCTTCTTTCCTATGACCGTTTAGAGGAATTTTTTTCTGAAGCAATGTGTTATACTTTGAGAAATAAATAATTTTGAAACTAAACGTGAATTTTAAATCACCAAAGGTTTATATGTTTATTAATAAATTACATAAAAGTATGCTTCTGAATAAATAATTAGTATTCTATTCAGAAGCTTCTGAATCAGCTATTTCTGTCAACCCTTGGCAGATGTGCAACTCTTAATTTTATTTTGGTAAGCAAATGAAACCTAGGAATACTTCTTTTAACTTTACCTACCTATCTTATATATTTTTTCTTATTGAAAAAAAAATCAGACCTCAGACTCTACTATAGTCAGAAATATAGTAAACATACTTCTCCATAATGAAGGTATGGATTTCATCTGAAATCCCACCATCCAGAGGTGATCATAATAAACATTTTGGGTTTGAATTAGCTCTTCTACTTACTAGACTAAATAATCTTGACTCAGTTTTCTTATCTGTAAAATGGCTATAATCAAATGTATACTTAATTTTCACAACAGCTCTGTGAAATAAATGAGTTAATGTATTATAAAATGTTTACAGTAGTGCCAGGCATGTGGTAAGTGTTAGCTATTACTGTTAAGGAGTCTTTCAAATAGATTTTCTGACAAAACTTTTATCATACCTTACAGTTTTGTATACTTATAGGCAATGTTTTAATGGAATGTTTTTATAATAGGTGGTTCTGCTTACCTTTTTGGCCAGATCTTGGCAAACCCAGCAACTGATTCTTTTGGAAACGTCGAATGCCTTATGTGCAAAACACAGCTGATTACGTTTACTTTCTCTGTGGTAGCTCAAAAAATTATTCCCTGTTCTTCTGTCCTTCTGGCATGCTTATTTTTGACCTGACTCACCACATTCTCATTTGAATAACAAGAGATGTACCTGAAGTTTTTATTCTTGTGACTTGGGGAAGTTTAATTTCCTTTTAAGAAAATAGGATCAATAATCTTTGTGGAGGATGAGTAGGGAGAAGGCTGTCAACATGGGAAAAATCAAATCTTGCCTGATTCTTGAGGAAGCAGTAGATTTCTAGATAATTCAGAACTAGTTAACCTAATTATTTTAACCCTTAAAAAAACATTGTTGTGAAAGCAAGACTCTTTAAACCCTGCTCAAACAAAGGGCTAAATATTTTTTTTTTTATTAATGTATTTAGGAAATTAGCTTGATGCTGAAAAGTATAGGAATGAACTCAAAGTTTTAGAGAGAACAATACCATAAGTGAACTCTGTGGAATTGAAATTATGTGTAAGATCTTAAAATATTTGTATAAATGAAACAAAGAGTAAATTTGACAAATTTGCAATTGACAGTAAGTATCTTAAAAGGTATCAAGAATAAGCTGCAGAAGGAGCTCACAAAAGTGAGAGTAGGCAGAATGTGAGGTTGAGGTGAGACCTAATGTTTGGCTCACTCAGCCTATCCATTCTCTCCGAATGTGCTTCAGTGGCAGTTTTCATTCCCTTTTAGGTGAGATGAAATGTTATGTACCCTTATCTCTCACTCTCATTCTCTTATTTTTCCTTACTCTTTTACTGGTGACATGGAAGTCTTTAATAGTTAGAGCCCAAGCAGTGCCTCTCCCTGTGCCAGGATTCATTAATGCAAGGTGCAGTCATATATTCCTCCTTCACTGGACCCAAAACATCATACATGTGCTGTCATTTACTGCTAAGAAAATTATTGCATTGGTTCTTTAAAGATACCCTAGCCAAAGATTGTTAACCCAAAAACTCAGAGAGAGCTGGACTGGGTAAAAGTATTGGAAACAAAATGTAAATCCTTTTCTGTTCTAAACTTCACATAAAATCATTACACCCATGTGTTACCAATCCTGAAAAACCCCTAAGTTGGGGAACTTCCAGGGAAGATGATTTTAAGAGGCCAAGCCACATTCTTTAACACCAGTTCAGATCCATCCCATCTTCATAAAGACTTTTCTTTCTACTTAGCTGATGGTGATCCTACCACTTTTAACAAAGCTACTTGCTTAAATTGATCTTGTGAGGGTCCAGGACTTCTTTGTATCTCTTCACATTGACTTCCTTGCATGTGGTAGAAACTCAAGAACATGTTGGTCCTTAAAGAACCAGCAGTTGAAGAGACTTCAATCTGGAAGGAGTGAGTATAGGGTGGCATTAGTGGCTTGTGTGCAGGATTTGGAGCCAGACAGATCTGATATGAATCCTGACTCTATACTTAATACCTGTTAACATTGGATCGATAGATTTATACAGACTGAGTTTCTTCCTCTGTAAAATGGAGATGATATCTACAGATTTATGGTGAGGATTAGAGATATTCTATATAAAGATACTCCACATAAAGTCATAATAGATACTTAGTAAAGGGTAGCTGTTATTGGGATAGTATTATCAGACCTGCTACTGTCATCAAAGGCACTGGTAAGATGAACATAATTTTGTCAAATCATAATATCACAAGTGAGAAGCCTGAAAGAGAAGCCGTTTATAATAGGGGAGATAACATATCTTGCTGCCTAAGTAGTACAGACTGAATTTATCAATATATTTAAGAACAATTTGATAAATTGTGGATGAGAGATTAAATTCAATTCAAACAGTACCTACTGTTTGTGCCTATATGACTGGTACTGCCTTGGGCAGTGTAGGTACTATCATGTAAGAAAGCCTGTTGGGTTTATTGTAAGATATGTGGGTATATGTAGTCATGTGCTGCATAATGTTTCTGTCAGCAATGAACTGTGTATATGATTGTCCATAAGATTATAATGGAGCTGAAAAATTTATATCACCTAGTGATGTCTAAGTGTTGTAACATTGTAGCAATGTTTAGATGTATTTATATATGCAAATAGTTACCACTGTGTTAGAATATCCACTACAGCGGTATGCTATACAAGTTTGTAGCCTAGGTATGATAGGCTGTATGCCATATAGCCTTGGTATGTAGTAGGCTATACCATCTAGGTTCATGTAAGTACACTCTGTGATGTTTGCACAATGACAAAATCGCCTAATGATGCATTTCTCAGAACGTATCCCTGTCATTAAACGATGCATGACTGCAATATATCCCAAAATGACTCCCAGCAGAGTTCTGGTGAAGTACTTCACAGCTCACAGATTTTTGATTTAGTATATGTCTGACCTTCCTGTGACTTCCTCTTTTTTGGTAAGATATATATATGTAAACTTAATCTAGAAATCTAGAGATGTTGGTATATATCTTGGATGATTTTATTGGCTCTTCACTAACTTTTCTGGATGTCTTACTATCCTTCACCTTTTTATATACCTGTGATGGCCAGTACAGAACGAGTTAATAATGCTGATACTTGAAGGCACACATCTGACTTAGACTTTTGACTTGTTGAAAGAAGTTAGAGTGTGGTATAAACTCAAATAAGGAAATGAGTTCCTATGAGAATGGAAACATTCATCCTGTTTGTCCCTACCTCTGTTGCATGCCAGGAACTTGAAATCTAATTACCTGTATTGTTATTTCAATCTTAAGTAGTATTCATTATAATTACATCAGTTACATAGATGTAGAAAACTTTTTTCATTTTTGGAAACATACTTTTGTTAATTTAAAAAACTACTTATATAGTTACTTCTTTGCTGTATTTGTGTACTGGGCTCCTTGTGCTTTCCCTTTTACCTACTGAGGCAGTATTAGATTTTACAAGATTTGTAAAAACCAAGTTAACTGCTAAAGCTAAATGGTTTATTGTTTTTTGGGAGATGAATTATTTTAGTTGATTTTGTTACTTTTCCTTTGTGTTTATGGTGAATAATTCATAGGGAGATATGTTTCCTGGCATTTCTAGCTATCTTATTTAAAAAATAAATTGATTTAAAGTGTTGGAGATCCTGTAGGGGCTGTGTGAGTGTGTGTGTGTGTGTGTGTGTGTGTGTGTGTGTGTGTGTGTATGTCATTTCTGAAGCGAAACATACACTTTCATTGCCTTAAGGGATGACTATTTATTGCATAATATATGTCCATAAGGTTTTCGTAGAAATATTCTACTTGTGTAAAAATCTATAAAGGTTACATTATTTTCCAACATTTAATATTATCCCAAATAAAAATATATATACAGTTTTATTTAGTTAACTAGCTCAATCCTTAGGGACTGAGGAAATCAGAATTTAACTGAAGCTAGTTATTTTAAGCCTGGCAGTTAACTCTTCAACAAATGGAGTTATTTTTATAAAATTCTGTGCCTCCTTTGGTTCACTGAAAACTGAATTATATAAAGTATGTAATAAGGACATTTATCTTTTGAAATTATAAGCTTCACATATTTGATATAAAAATTGTAAGCATCTGGATTGAACTTTTGTTTCAGTATTTTAGGTAACCATTTTTTTATCCAGATGAAATAGAGCACAGATAAGCATCTCTGTATTCCAGATGATACACAATCTTCAATTTGAGTACCAAACAAACCTTTTATTAGCACTATTTGCAAATTAATAAAATAGACTAAGCTTAATCCCTGTCTGAGGAATTGAAAAGCAATTAAAAAGGAATAAGGTGGTAAATAGAAAGAATCGAAAAAAGAAATCTTTTCCTTATGTTGGTTATTTTAAATTCATCA